GTCCAGAACATTTAAACAGGCAGAGCTGAACTGAGAGGTTAGCTCCTCAGTGGTAAGAGACACCGGGAACTGTTCGATCCTCTCAGAATTAAAACCTTCATTAAAACGAGCAGCAGTGAAACGGTTAATGGAACGCGTACGTGCAGGAACGCACGTCTTAGCAGTATGACGGGGGGGGAGTGAAGTCAAACAATACAGGCATGTTATCTGAAAAAACATTGTCACCGATTTTCAAATTAGAAACAGAGACATCGCGTGTTAAAACGAGGTCCAGCGTGTGACCGTCTTCCTGGGTGGGGCCGCTCACCTGCTGAGCTAAATCAAAAGAGTCCAATAAATCCAGAAAGTCCTTCACTAAGGGCTTCTCCTGACAACACATATGCAAATTAAAGTCACCAATAAACAAAAAGTGAGTGTATCTCTGTGTGATATCAGCCAAAAAGTCAGATAATTCTTTTATGAAGTCCTTAGAACGAGGTGGGTGGTAGACAAGCACGCACAGAACCGTAGGACAGTGTCCGAGTTCAAAGGCGCTCAGCTCAAAGCTGGCGCGGGACACCGGGATGGACAACTGTTTACAGGCCAAGTTTGCTTTAAAAACGGTTAATAAACCCCCCCCCCCCCCCCTACGCCGACCTGATGGCCGCGGGGCATTGAAACACAGACAGTTCGGGGGTAGTAGTTCCACCAAGGCGCTGGACTCACCATCAGAAATCCAAGATTCCGTGACGAACAGAAAATCCAACTCCTGATCTTTAAAAAAGTCATTGAGGATAAACGTCTTGTTGGAAACAGACCTTGCGTTGATTAAACACATCCTGATATTGTCCAACACAGGCACAGCCGTGGATGGAGACGCGCGCGCCAGCGGGCGCAGGGTATGAAGAACAGCTCCTCCTGGTCTGCTGGTGCGGCGCACAGGTAAACAACTCCAGGTGTTCACATGGACTGAGCGTGCGGGCAGCTGGCCAGCAGCCGGGCCCCGGGAGCACCATGGGTCAGAGAGGAGATGATCAGATCCAGAGCGAGTCCTGATAGAATAATCCATACTTTGCCTCAGTTTCACCAAAATCCCTGCACGCTTCCCACGACGTCTGCGACGTTTCCTCCATGGAGAAAGGCCAGGGTCACGCAGAAGGAACGCAGGAATCTCATATAGGACCGGTGGGGGAGAGTGCTGGCCGCTGTTCAAAAACTTCGCGGGAATTTCAGCAAATGTACGGAGCTCCAAAAGTGCCCGACAATCATACTGAAAATATGACTCGGCACACTGCACAAACCATTGTAAAAATAACAAAAATAAAATACAAGCAGATAGCGAGAGACGGGCAGCCCTACACACTGGCGCCATCTTGAAAAACTCCCCAATGGACAACAGCGACAACAGTAGACAGTTATAAAAATTCACACAGATTTTTTTTAACAAATAGGATGGTTAAAAAAAGAAAAGTAACATAAAAACAGCTAGATTCTAAGACAAGTGTAGAAAACTAAAAACAGAAACATGTCTGCATTGGTCCCTGCCAGGAGTCCAACAGATTCTTAAAGCCACTTAGAGAGGTCAAGGTTGAGAGCTTCAGATAATTTTTTCTAAGATATTCCAGGAGACAGGAGCGGAGTAGGAGAAGGTCCTTTTGTCTAGTTCAGTCCTCACTGAGGGAACACTGCAGGTAATAATGTCATGAGAGCGCACGCTGTAGCTGCACTCATGCAGAGACATGTAGGAAGAGATGTATGAAGGCAGCAGACCAAGAAGTGATTTAAAAATGAAAATGTACCAG